TCCTCCCTCAGACTTGTTGATATCTTCAATTCCTTATTTTAGTGAATATTTTTGTAATTTTTGGTAAAAAGTGATATTTTCAACTTCTTGTTGAAAACCGCAAGTCCAATTGCTTTTTTATTACATATGTAGGTACTACATGTGGACTTCTCTCAGATTTGTCTTGTTGCTTTATATATATATATATTGTTCATTTTAAAATGATATCTTCAGTTCTTTAATTGTAATGTGCATTGCTAACAGCGGAGCTATTTCAGCCGACAGGCTGCTTGTTAGAAATACATATAAAGTCTGTGAAAGAAAAAATTACAGTTCGCAAAATGTTTTTTACCTGTATCCTTCATGTTGGAAGTGTATTACATTTTGAACAGAATTTTATTTTTGGAAATCATACAAAAATTGAGTTTCACATAAGATCATATTATGTGATTTCAATGGAGCCATTTTCATCCCATACCATCATGAATGGTTGTAATGCATACACTATTTACTGTGTGGTCAAACATATAGACAATAATTGTGAGCAAATTATATAAATATACATGGTATATATGTGATATATACCTCATTACGTGCAAGTGTGTGCCAATCACAATAGATGCTTAGAAAGGTTTGAGTGTGAGAAGGAAATTAGTAAAAAGTTATCACCATATAAATAGCAATTAGCAAGGTTACCACCCTGAAAGTGAAAATTGGCACGGTTATCACACTATAAACAAAACTTATCAACGTTATTATCCTATAAATAGAAATTAGAAAGGTTATCACACTATATACAGCGATTGGCAAGTTTGTCATGCTCTTTGAATATGCAAGGCTTAATCAAGAAAGAAGGTGTCTAAATTGTACTCTTTGAGAAACCCCTGAAACGCACAAAGAAAAAACAGAAATAATAACCAGCTCGCACAATTGCAATAGTATTTCTAAAAATGTTAGTTATCTTGCATCGCATCAGGCACACACCATTACAAGTCTTCGCTTTCACACAAAATCAATACATGGCTTAGAAGAGGAAGATCCATGGTGTTTAGTGTTTCAGTAAGTGTTATTGACAGATGCCACTTCAAGATGGTGGTGCTCACAAAAGCTTGGCTGGATACAGAATTGATTTTGCGAATAAAATTCATGTATAGGCTCTGAGAGTCGTATACTAAAGATATCACAGCCTCCTTACACAAGAACATTTGCCTTCTTAACCTCAGGCAAATAATCTCCTGTGCTTTGGGCACAAAGACACATATTCAGCCAGTGCAGTAACATATAACCTTGATACAATATATAATTATTTTGTAATTATTAGGCACAGAGGCAGGAAATAGTGATTGTGAACTACGAGTTGGCTCCCAATCCAGCAGATCACAAGTCTCATCTCGAGGACCATGTTCAGCAACAAATACAGTGATGAATCAAACAATAAATCAGACACATTTGATATGAAAACATTGCATTGCACATCTTATGTTGAGCTTATCACTTCCAAGGGCGAGATGCATTCCTTCAAGCACTTTTTGACTGAAGTTCACATTCTTTCCTAATTGTTCTGTTCGATGACTATGCATTGGACAAATTAACAAATTAATTAAATTAACAAATGCTGTAACAAATTAAAGCTATGTATCCTTGGTGGAAAATAGATTAAAATTTCGAGCACCATGGAAAATCTTGTGTAATTTGAGCAATAAGTGTTTCACATTCTCCATTCCTGAAAAAATACTTCAATCATTTAGCTTGCTTGTCTGTCTGCTTTCCTTTCAATTTCTTTGTTTCACGTACACACCAAAATCACCATGAAAGAAAATCGACTAGTATTTTGTTAAAGTTACAAATAAAGTTCCTGCTATTGATGTATCATGCAACTGTGTTTGTTACATGAAAAAATACATTCAGTTGGCAGGCCAAACCTTGGTTGGAATGTAATATCAGTCCACCACCAACTGAACAAACTAACAATGGTCTGTCTCCACCAAGGTTGCCAGACTAACTACACCATGACTTTCATGATGACATTGCTGCATGAAAACAATTAGGTGATAGAAGACAAGGTGGGGGTTGTGTTGTACAGCATGCAATTAGATGAACACATTCTTATTTGAGCCTTCAGTCCAGTATCAAGACATGCAAATCCTGATTACCATAGATGCAATGCACTGTCACACACTGTCTGTCATTGAACCTAGTTTGGTTTGAAGGATTCACACATGCAGTCACAGCTGGAGCAGTAAACAGCTCTCACTTTTACTGTCTATGTGCCTTGTTGCACAGTAATGAAACAAAACTAATTTCAGGACTACCAGATCCTCCAAGAAGGGCTATATCTAACCACATAGCATGAAAAAAGTTTTTTTATTGGTAACAAAACCACATGCAAGCGAATTAATGGTGAAAGAAAATGAAAAATTAGTTTTGTTTTGTTGAACCTAAATGACAGGACTGACATACAGAAAAATACAGCACTAAAAAGGCCAAAAAGAAAAGCCATCAAAAGCAAATGTTTAAAAGTGTCAGATCGACTTGACCAAACATGATAGCAGTATGAATGCATGACACTAGATTCTATGAAGAGCAGGTAAGATTGTGAACGCCAGTCGCCCTGTGCTTTAATTGCTTCGGGGTTGGAATGTGCAGCACATGGTCTCCGAATCCTATGGTTATAAACCATGTGATACAAGCTATTACGTCATAACCAACATGAGAGATGAATGTGTGTGTCAAAAGCTGTATTAGACAGTAGCAATCAGATTAGATTTGTGCTAGAATGATAAAAAACGCAATGTGGAATGGAGACCACAACGTAACATGCAGTGGGTGTGCAACAGTTGATGAATACACAGCAGGTGTGATTGGTAACTTGCAAAGACGTTGATGCTGTATCCCCAAACAAAGAGCAATTAAAGGAACGTGAAGGTGTTGTTGCTGTTAAAAAAAGATGCAACAAACAGATGCCGTTGAGGTAGTCCCGAATAGATGTCCTGCATGAAAACGAGCAGCCAGAAAATTGTGTAGTGTTGTAGCTAGAACTGGCTGAATGCAAAAGAAACAACAGAAAAGAGGAAAGCACACCATTGCGTGAATGTTGGGCAACCACCCAGAAGCAAAGGCTGAGCTAACACCGATGTGTGATGATCCACATGCAGGAGCGAAAAGGAATAATACGATGAATTACCATGGCTAAATGAACTAGAACACATTCTTGGATAAAATCAAATCATTATGAGACGCCAATATTTTACTGTAATTCTTCAATGCGAAACTCGGGTCATACTTGTTTACAACTAATAATTGGCATCTACCAGGTGTGCTTGTGATTTACATAACAAAGTATGTTTATGATCTACTGACTTGCCTACGTGAGACAGCTGCTAGCAAGACCACATTCTGATTGGCTCCTGTGGAAACCCAGGTGGTGTACCTGAATCTGGGCCATTTATGCCCTAAAATAGGCTAGACTGAGGACAGTTGGGGACTACCATTTCAACTGAGTACCCTGTGTGTTGCTGCTGCTGCGATATTGTGAGACGAGCGATACAGGTTTAATCATCATTCTGCGAGACTTGTATGAACTGCCCTCCAGAATAACAGCATTCCTCTGCAAGCAAGACTCATGTACATTTGTATTTCTTCGTCGTTGTGTTGCAGAAACCATTGACTCGTCAATTTCCACATCCTGGAAGTTATCGCCAATGCACACTTCCCTAGACAATCCTCTATTTTAGTTAATTTATTCATTGTATTATTCTGTGTTTTGTTATTTTTGAGAAGTATTAAAGCCGGGAGCTTAATTTAACTTGATATTTTGGTGTGTGTGTGTATTTCATGTCCAGTACTATTGTCTAGTCTACCTCAGAACCTCCTATCGAGTGCAAGTTCTGTGAGTGTTCCTCGCAACATCAATAAACAGGTCTTACACTGTGACATATACCAAAACACATTTAAAACGTGTTGTAAATGCATTGCTTGTTTGCGATAGCATGTTCAGTTGTAAATTATCCTGATGTGCTTGCATTGCATTCTGATCACCAGGAAAAGAGGTTCACTGCCAATTTGTCTCTCCCTCCTCTGCAGGGTCATGGTGTTATCGCAGGAAAACTGTTCTGCCCTGGATGGACGGCAGACAATCTTCAATAGTGAGCTTAACCACTATTAGTCTATCCGACTGATGACGATGTATTAATTGACACTGTCAGTTGTGCAAGATTTCCTGCTTCATTCCACCATTATAGGGCCTCCAGCTCCCAATACTAGTTGGTCAGCTTGTAGGACCTCAGAGGTGGATGCCTTCCAAAGAGCACTTCTGTATCAACTGCAGTTGGTGTGCATCTCTTCTTAGACGAACATTCCCACCACATTAGTTACGGGCAGTCAAAAATATGTTTCAGTTTTGCTTCTAGATATATAGCATAATTTGTACATGCGAGTGGCTAGGGATTATTACAGCAAGTCTCAGAAGTATTGTGGCAGCCAATTTGCAAACTTGCTAGCGAATTAGCTAACTGCTCGGGTTTTGGCTAAACAGTTGGCTTTCGAATCTCGCTGGTGCCTCTTGTGGTCACGCCCACTCTGGGAGAATCTATATAACAGCAGGGGACGGTCGTTATACTTTAAGAGCTAATCAGCCACAGTTGGATGACGATTTCGCTTTCAAATATACCAGGGAAAGTGTTCTATGTGTAATGAGGTCGATTTTTTTAGCGGTTGTCTAATGTTACCCCGACAGATCATTTAGATATGAAAGTTTGTCATTTTCTTCCTGATTTGTGAGAAACTGTTTATCAACGCGTCTTTTTATTTAGTTTCAAGCAATCTTCAAGATGGCAACCCCCATATAGTAAATATCGGCAGATTAATCGCATATCATTGCTTTACGCCAGCTGATTTTGGCCATTCTCAGGCTTACCAGAGAAACTACTTTTACATGATCATGCCTCCTAACAAAGTAAATCATTCAGGGGAATCTAGACATGTACCTACTAGGCTACGTAAAAGCATTCTATGTCCCCTAATGCAACTTAGACTCGCACAGAGTCGGCGCCAGCGAGATTCAAAAGCCAACTGTTTAGTCAAAACCCAAGTAGTTAGCTAATTCGCTAGCAATTTTGCAAATTGGCTGCCCCAATACTTCTGAGACTTGCTGTAAAGACCACTAAATATGTGTCCACATGTATATCATTTCCCAGATAAATAAAATGATATCTGTAATTGTGACTTCTTAATGTTAACTACAAACCCTAACGATCCCAAAAGGCAAGGGCATGCGCAAGGGACCTTTTTGTAAAGGATGATACCATACTGTCCTACATACCTATGTAAGCACCAATGGTGCCAAACACAGGCCAACGGGGAGAACTCTGAATTGGTCTTACCCATTCAACTACAAATCTCAGGTACTATCAAGATGCCATTGGGATGTGTAGGTAAGTATCCTTTTGATCCAACATCTCTATGAAGTTATTCGGTTTGATAAATTGTCTTGAAATGCAATGAGGTGTAATCATGTTGAATTAGTCTAGTGTAACAGAATTTGTTAATAGCAGTTCTCCCGACAGTTTGATACTCGTAAAGCTATACATCGTGATCCCCCCCAGACCCAAAGTAACAATAATAAAGGTTGATTGACTGAATAGGCCTGATTTCATGCGTCATCTGTTTATGGCCTGATTTCAATAATCGAGACAGTCGTGTCAGACTAATTCCATTTTACATGTGAGAGAAGCCTTCTGAATTTCCTCTGAATCGGACAGCCATCAAGATTTTATTCAGTTAATTGTAGCAAACTCATGTAGACCAGGCAGAGTAGGGCTGAACACAATTCAGCCACAAATACCGACAAATCCTTGTTGTCTTTAATTCTGATGTTCATTTGACACGGGTTAAAGAGGATGACTAAATTATTATAGTGTGTGTGTTCACCCATATTTTGAGCATGCCTTGACAGATTACATTCAAACTTCACACTTGCTTCTCGGGATACATCCATCAATTTGATCTGAAGGTGACTGATTGGAGCCCACTTTTGTGGTAAATATCTTCAAAATCGAGCATTTCTTTCAAAATTAGTGGATGTCACTGGCAAAGTACTAAAAATGGATAGTTTAAATAATTTTAATATATACTTGTTGTCATTATTCATTATCATTTACAGTCAATCATTCACTTTCTACCAGAATAGTATTGAGAGGTGATTACTCAGACAAACAAAAAAGATGATACTGAAAGATGATGAAACCAGAAATAAATATTGGTGAGAAGAGCGTTTTTCAAAATAATTTGATCAGCACAACTACAATATGAACACAAGACTTTTTCCTTCACTAGTGCATTTTCTACCAGTTGAATATGTAATTGATGCTAAATATATATATTGTACACCTGTATGTTTTCAGAAACCATGAAATAGGATAAAACAATCTTATTTTAATACTTAGAAGATCCTGTGTACCTTAAAACAAACTGTTTTTGTGAGCCATTTTTTGCTGGTTTTTGATTTTTCACTGGTACTTTACAAAATAATCTTTAAAACTGCTTTGAATTGATATCTACCTCATAGTTCTGGAGAGTTTCTGTCATAATGTTTGTAAACATTTCATTCACGTCCAAGAAAGTCACTTTACTATGAATAAACGATGTAATTTTTGTATCAATAGCATGAAGAAAAATGTTGTTGGTAGATTATGCGCTTGTGAATGATAAACAGTATATGATCACATGATAAACGTGTGGATATTCTCACTCATATGATCACATGATAAACGTGTGGATATGCTCACTCATATGATCACATGATAAACGTGTGGATATGCTCACTCTTATGATCACATAATAAACGTGTGGATATGCTCACTCTTATGATCACATGATAAACGTGTGGATATGCTCACTCTTATGATCACATGATAAACGTGTGGATATGGTCACTCTTATGATCACATGATAAACGTGTGGATATGGTCACTCTTATGATCACATGATAAACGTGTGGATATGCTGGAAGGACTTCACATATACCATATATTGTTCTATCACTGATTTGAGCATGTGCTGTAATACATTAATCAATTGTTTGTGGTGTACTTGTTCCCTAACTATGAATTTGGGTATTAATACTTTTCAAACTGTTCTGCTTGATGATTTGTAATAAAATCATCAGAAGTCACATTAATTCAGAGGTTTGTTTTGAACATAGACATTTTTCAGTGGCCAGGTTACTTCATTACAAAACTATAAATTTAAACAAAACAATGAGAAAAAACTATAGAGAATACCAACATAAATTGTATAATTTGGATGGCATAATTTACATATTAAACAAGACAAATATAAGCTTATAATATAAGAAAATAGTATGCAAATTAAATCTCTCACTCAGAATGGTTACCAACAATAAACTATGCAATATAATACATAATCCCCAATTTGTTTTCCTGTTCTGCAAGACATTCAACAATTTATTAGTTGTTTGGTGTTTGTGAAACAAAATAATCATCACGGTAAGAAATTAGCATTTGTGATACGACTGGAACAACATAATTTATATTTGATATATTCTGTTAATGGACAGCGAAATATGGTTATAATCACAATCCTCCAGACAATCTAAAATTCTTCTTTTAAAACTATTACATATTTTCAGAAAAAAAAAGACAAAGGAAAAGATCATCATACGTGGATTCTAAAATCTGTAATTTCTTATCAGTTAAAATTACCTATTTTATACACACATCAGATATTCCAAGGCAAAAATAAAGTTATTGACAATTTCTTATAAAATGGAATCATGTTTCTGATAAACACATGCTCATATGTAACATCAGTGTCCTCAGACACAGCTTAAGTTTGAAATATTTACAATGACTGTTTTAAAGAACTCAGTACCCACCCCACTTCTTGTGGTGTGAACTATGACCCCTGTAATTAGTTGAACTTTGACCCCGGAACCCAGTACTTTGTCTATCATGATCTTCTTCCATTGTAAGCAGATCCACAATAGCATTCATTATTTTGCCTTCTTTGTTGTCATGACACCACTGAGTTATTCCAGGGCTGGTGATTTTAGATTCTAAAAGTTCATCAAGTTCAATCCTTAGTTTCTGATTTGTTAAAAACAAAAAAACAGAACACAGTATGAATATAATTTCTCATAAAATACAGAAAGACAAATTGTCTTCCATTATGAAAAAATTCTTGTATTTTTTTTTAGGGACTGCGCATTCATGAAGCTTTATTGGAGTCTCAGAACTATTGTGTTTAATTATTTGATGTAGTTTTGTTTAATGAATTTGATGTATGAATATGAATACGTACAAATTGTTAGAAATTCAATGAATTTCAGGGCATCTAAATACATTTTGTGTATATGTGATTGTTTCAACAGAAATGAGTTTGATTGACATGCAGAATTAGATTTTCATCACAGATTAATGTACACAGATAGAAAACTTGCATATCTATATCATTGATAACTACCTTGACAAGAGTTGCTATCGTGGGAGATGCTTTGAATACAATCCAGTCATCTACTCTGATAACATCTTGTGTGTCGTCTTTGCCCATTGTTATATCACCACCAAAGAATAACAAGGGATATGGTTCTATAACACTGCTATCATGTAGATAAATCTAGGGGGAAAAATAAAACAGTGTATAGTTATCACATAACCATGGTGCACAATTGTGACATTTAGCATAAAATACCACCACTGATATGATTGGGACTGTTTTTCTACACCCAATCCAAACTGTTGTATCAGCTGGTACATAGCATAGAATTCTTTAAACATGCAAACGGAACCGAAATCACACACTGATTATCAAACACATCATACGTGTACAAATGCAATAAATACTTCATTTATATAGTAATATTAACTTATATTATTATACATCTGTCACCGTAATGCCATAAGTTACAGCGTGCCGTAATTTTGCGGTAATTTACAGGGTATTTTCATCCTACCATATAAGGAAATATAAATTCCAAATATGGCATGATTACGTGCGTAAGCGTCCTCTAATAACTATAACAAACATGGCTGCCATCAGGGTTTGACAGGACTCCACACAAAGAAGTTCGCTGATTCTGTTCTAAACATTTTGGATTTCGGCATTCCTATGATGTAGTATCCTTGGAAGGAAAAGATGTATAATAATGTTATTACGAGGATACCTCAAAATATGCACTCAGACAGTAGACCATTGCATCGATCTCCACTGTGTGTCGGTCGATACTCCCGCTGTACTTTCTTCCTGCATACTTTTCGATATCCTCATAATAATCTCACAGTATATTAACTTCCAACATCATGCAACACTGGAAATGTTAGATGATTTTTCATTTTGTTACTGTTTGTTATGTTCAAGACAGTGAACTTCATACATATACATATACTACTCACTCCATTTGATCTGATTTTCTGATGATATATCAACCATTTGCCGTCCAGTTGTTGATCACAATTAACTGATTTAGGATGCAAATTGACTCGTCCATCTTGCTGAGTACTTAGGCGTGGTCCTCTTACAAAGGCAACATAATACATTAGAATAAGTACAGACAAATAAAATGCAGTCCCTGATACAGTATGTAGTGAATGTTGAAAACCATATTATATAATTCTGATATTTGTTATAAAGTTAGAAATACACAATACAATGGTTACCTCATGGGAAAAAAATACAAAATATCGTTTTTTAACATAAATTAAATACTTACCGGGAAAATGCTTTTTTCCTTGACATTTGAGTTTCTATTTTAGCAACATTTGGATAAAGCCCCGCACATACTACAGCTTTAATTAGTTTTACATTATCTATTAATCCAGAAAAAATAGTGGAACATAGATATGATAGTTAGTAGTTATTAATGCAAATGAGGTACTTAATATGCACACATCCACACAATATTCAATATTGAGTTGTATGTACATCAGGATTGGGGGAAAACTGGATGTCGTTATACATGTTTGCTATTTACTGGCTCCCATTACCTTCAATTCAACTATTTATTTGATAATTAATTGGTGTAATATTTTATCTTGTAATTCAACAGATATGTAAAAAGTATGGATGTTACAGTTTGCCATGTACACATACTTTAGTAGCAAAATTCACACATACATACACACTGTACTAATATGCCGGTAATTAGCTCCGTGCATTCACACTGAGAGTACACACTCTGTCTAATCTAACCTAAACTATGAGTTATGATCACTTTTACTCAATGAAAACTAAGTAGTGTCTTGGCATAACCAGTAGTGGTAATATGGAGACAAGAAAGACAAAAAGAACACAGAGTGGAAAGATAATTGTCACCATCACAGCCTACAATTTGACACCATCAAGGCACGGCTCACTCAAAACACATGCGACTTTGTATTTACTATATCTAACTTAATGTACAAGTGAAAATAAATTTGTTTAAACATGTACCTGAGTTTGTATTGGCTGCTGCTTGTTTACTCTGTGTGTTTGATACAAATCCAATATTGCATAAATATTCACAGAACTGAGTCTTCATATTGTCCAGCATCTGAAATTGTTAGAACATAGGGTAGAATAGAGTCTGTTTATTAAACTTTCTGATTGTAGGAATGCTAGTCCTGCATGCACATCAAGGGCAAGTTTGTTGTGTAGTTTGTTGTCTTCATCAACTGTTAACTCTTTTCAGTGCATGTGCTTTGGTTAATTAACCAAGACTACTAAGACTGAATAATTAAGAGCTTCTGCTACAATGTCACCCACCTTAAGAGTATTGCTTGACAAGAAATAGTCCCAGCAGTAATTTTGCTGTGACCTTTGACCTTGCTGTTTTGCATCTTCCCATCCTTGGAATGTATATGACAGCATCATGTGATCGCTCTGGTCATTTCTCGATAACAATTTCCTCTTTGCATCTGCCTCTTTTTCTTTACCCTGTAATAACGTATTTCAATACTACATGTACATGTAATTGGACAGCATGTAAAAACACTTAAAGTATTACCTATGTATGCTCATGAATAAATACAAACTAAAAAATGCAAACAAATATCTGTAAACAATGACATGCTACAGCTGTCGGAGGCATATGTCGACCCCCCCCCCCGGCTTTAAACTGGCTAAATGTAGAAACTTTGGAAAAGATATGGCTTTGATAATGATTGAAGTTTATCATCTGATATCACTTGTTTGTAAAGCTAGTTGATACATACAAGGTTATAGGCTAGCATTATCGCTGTCAATTTCATGCAACTAGAATTGCATATTCATCCCAAGATTGTTTAAACGTGATTGGTCCAGACATTTCTGAGATACAGGTGTATACACATGCATGCAATGTTAAAGTTTGAATGTTATTGGTTCAGACGTGATTGGGTCAGACATGTCTTGAGATACAGGTGTAGACAAATGCATGCAATATTAAAGTTTGAACGTGATTGGGTCAGACATGTCTTGAGATACAGGTGTAGACAAATGCATGCAATGTTTAAGTTTGAGCGTGATGAGTCTGCATACGACTTACTAGGGGATGCGTAATTGCAGCTGATGATGGTTTTCAACTTATTACAATACATGTTATAAAATATTGTTTTTATTCAGTCTGACATTATCATATTGCTGTGATAAAAACTCGTGGAACTTTGAGAACCACACCTGTATGTGTATGATAATAAGGAATAATATGATAATAAGGAATAAAAGTATACATGGACTACTAACCAGAGGAATTATAAATGGATCTTTAAAGCTAAGGCTGGCAGCAATTGTGAGTACTGGATCTAAGCAACAAAACATTGCAGCAAACAGTATCATTTTACCAATACGTGGTTCCACAGGTAACTTTGCAAGATGGTATCCAAGGGGTGTCAAGTTCTCTTCATCATCCAAGGCATTCTGGGAATGTAGATTATTAAGATGCATAACGTAATGCTGCGTGGAGTCTGACCACTGCTATTTAACATGTGAATATGTAATGAAGCGACGGAACAACTGCAGTAGAAATCACTCACCATTTTAAAATTAGTCAAGACAGTATCTGGTATTACTAGAAATTCAAATCTTTAACTTGGAGCAATATATCAATAATTTATTTATTAAATGAATGAATGATCCACAGTGCGAATAAAAAGAGTTGATTGTATGCGAGATACTGAGTAAGCTGGAGGTGAATGCAGAACCAATTCCATTCTATTATGGCACACAGGGCAGTAGATTATAGTTACAGTGTATCATAGACCGCCAGTAAATATTGCTCAATTTTCATAACAATAAAATGTTATGATCTGATCTAATGTATAGCAATATGCACCCATATGATTGTACTTACCAGTTGTTTCAGACTATATTTTGCAGTTATGATAGTTTGAACTGGTGGTGGATTCATTGCTTTACTCAGAAACTCTTCAATATGGCCCAGCTTTAATAACTTGAACAAAAATGATAACATACATTTAACTGAGAATATTTACATCATAGCACTCTTGATTTTAATTATACTTGGTACTATTGTCATGAAAATATAATTGTTACAAATGGACAACAGACAGACGACAGACAATCAACTATATGAACAGCTCCACTCTGTCATCTATGATGACAGCAGAGCTAAAAAGCTGACATGTGAAAACTATTGTTTACTACAAATTAACATGAAAATTTAACAAAAAATACCAAGGATTTATAATATGAAGGTATAAAAACAGTGTGATGTGTAATGAACCTTGCAAATAAATAAATGGGAATTCAATTGTTACAAGAGAAAAAATTGACTTACACGTATCTGTAAACAGACTTCCTCTAATGGAGTTCTGAGCATCTCTGGTAATTGGTAGTCAGCCATCATGTGAGCACGGAGTTGAGTAAATAAATGGTAACAGAAACCTGGCTTCACTCTGATGAAGAATAAACAATGAGTTATGGGGCCAGAGCAATAACCTCAGTGAGAAATTCTCACTACACTAGGGAGGGCCAACAAAGCTGAGAAAAAAATCATTTTAAACAAGCCATGCATGGCAGAGTTCCTATTAGTTATCAAATTTAAGATATATAATTTAAGATATAGTTTTGATTATAGTAATATAGTTTGAACATAAACATATCAGAGATATGGATCCAGAAGCTGATGCTTGATTAAGATGATTTTTTAACATTAAAATGATAAATTGTTCTGGAACAGCATTAATTAGAACAAAATGGCCACTGGTCAGCCATTTTGAACCTGATCTGAAAAAACAAAATGACATTCATCAAGAACCAATAATATCTAATGTATGTACCAAGTTTGAATGAAATACATCCATAAACAACTGAGATACGGTTCCAGAATGCCATAAATGCTTGATTTTGATGATTTTTCAGCACAAAAATGGTTGCTATCCGGCCATCTTGAATCAGATTATGCAACAAATTGATGTGCATATGTATAATATTATGTATGATGTATGCATATAAGATACAGAGGTCAATCCATAAGTCACCTTTTGCGAACAGTGTCTGACCGGGAACTACCCAAAAATAATTTAATTTGTTTTAATGACCTTGAAGTGACCTAATTAGATCATCTGATATTTAATTTTTTGAGTTGTGTTGTGTTGGTAAATAAATTGTAAAATAAAACGTAAAACAATTGCAATCTAGTCCCTGTAATCTAACATGTACGTGATTAGCCTTTTTGTATTAGTAAACATAATTTTTGATAACACAGTTTTATTTGAGATATAATAACCTTAATCGATCTTTCGAATATTATGTAAATTAACAATCACAAATAAAGCCTAAACTGATCTTGGGTCACTGTGACTCTACTGAACTACTAAAATATAAGGATTTAAAAAAAATATGATGCAATAAGTTTGATGAAAAACTATTTTTAAAAACCTTTTTCACTAATCTAGGGGAGCGGTCTTGATACATAAACTAGTGCCAACAAATAATCAAATCTTGAGAATTACTTGAATGTATTCATGAGTACTGGTAGGTAAACAAAAAAGACTCCCTAAGTCTATGGGGAAAAAGTTTTCTTGATATGACACAACCTCAACTAAATTTGAACTGAATTTGAAAATAACTTGTGTCGATGAATCTAATGATCTTAAAATCATTACCTGCCAGATCTGCCCCTTCTCTGCTTAGCAGCAGCTTTACTGATCCATTCTGGTTTCAATGTACATATATTGTTTTTCACGTCATAATTACTCTCCTTAACTTTGCCAGTATTGACCACATGAACCACGTCCTCAATGGTAATACTAGTCTCAGCTATGTTAGTCGCTATAATGATCTTACGTGTACCAGCGGGTGGTGTCTGGAATATCTACAGTACAATAATTGTGGAAGGAAAACAATATTCAAAGGAGTGGTGTTCAGTCACAACCAGTGTTCTATACGTATGTAAAACAATGCTTGTTTAGACAAAATTTATTGCGGTTTATTACACTTCAGTAAAAGACAAATACTTGGGTTTTATTACTAATTCAACTAAATAACACTATTGCTGCATTTAGATACCACTGTCTGTATTTTTGTTTTTTCACATTGTACTACCTCCTGGGATTCAAATACGAATGATTACACATCAAGTATTTGGAATAATTATTATGAATATTGATTGCCAGGTAACACTTTCTATAAAGATACATAAGATTACTGAATTCAAAGCATTGTGTCTTGGCTTTCGAAAATGACTGGCAAGTTAAAAATGGCTGATTAGGAGAGCTACCAGTAAATTTTTAAAATATCTTCAAAATGGTTTGAATTTGAAAGGCGATAAATAACTCAAGTAGGCTTTGATTTGTGAGTGATAGGCAAGTGAAGTGACATGCCCTGCAGCAGTGTTGAAAACCATTCACAGAAATATAGCTGGATATGCATGGAATGATGACAAACTATGTCTAGTTTCATCAGAGTGTAAGTACAAAAGGAAAACATCTCCCTCACCTGTCGTTGGTTGACTGTTGGCATCAGAGAATGAAGCGGTATGATAATAAATGGACCAGATTTAAACATTGTTTGTCTCAATAGCTTATCATTTATTTTACTTATATCAGTCCATCCAGGAACAAAGACCAAAATAGCACCTTCCTGTAAATCAGAATGATGAAACATTAATGGTGCTACATGTAACAAAAAAATAAACGGTGAATATGATAATTAGTAAATATAAGCTAATTAACCTCCACGAATTACATACATTGTACAATATCTGTGTACAATTTAATATTATCTGAACCATTAGTATCAAAAAGCTAATGAAAAAAATACTTGTCCAGATTTTGATTCTTATTATGCAAATGATCTATTTACTATGCAAAGAATTGCAATTTCATTACTCACCTCCTTGTTGATTGCAATATATCTGATGACTTCAACAACTAAATCATAGTCGATCTCCTCATCATCCATGTTTTGTATTTTTTCTAATACTTCAGGTGAATAACTACAAATACAGAGACCATACAAGATTTTATTTAGGGGTTAACATCAACAAATCATGGTCTCATTGCTGTGCAAACAATCAGTTTATTACAACATTAGTATAGCGCCCTCTAACAGAAACATGAAACACTTTTTTTTTCTTGAGTGCACTCACAGATTTTTGAGCATGCTTATTTATTGTTTCATAGCAAAATAATTTAACTTTACAATTACGAAATCTGTTTTCCTAACTATTGGTAAATACAGAGATTGGAATCAGTCATTGACAGTCTGATTGAAAACTTTCAACTACATCTGAATGATGACCTATGCAAGTCACGTTCATGTAGCTTTTCTCTGAATGAGATGGGTTGTTTTACTAAAAAAACAACCTGTAACACAAATTCTCATTGGTTCCTGATCATGAGAGATCAAATTAAAAACCAATTACAATTACAATCATATTCAGTTAAAAATTTGACAATTCCTGTTAAAAATAGTACGAGATGATAAACAAATTTCTTCCCACTCCAACGAAAGATGGACCATTATCAAATATTTATGCCATGCAAGTGCATTATGGGAAAACATTAATTGTACGTACAATGTACATGTGGAAAAAGAAACTCACAGACAAGAAGGCATGCAAAGGATGCTGGGAACACAAAAAACGAAGCTAAATGAAAGTTTCAGAGCTGCCTGTGATACTCTTTAAAACTTACAATATATATTGAAATGTGCCTACAAGAATTTGATTCAGATACTAAATTAAGCTAATTAATTATGCACATATTACCAACAACAATAACACGTCTTGCAATTGTTTCATAATGTATGACTGTATATTAATTATTTCTGACTCTTTGAAACTTACACTAAGTGCAATATGTATTGAACATTGTTAACAAGAATTCAATTCAGATACTAATTAAAGATATTAATAACACACATTATCAACAACACTTGTAATATCTTGCAATTGTTTCATAGTATATAACATGAGTTTCATGTGAATCTGAGCACTGGTTCTTGTAATATACTCGGTAATTAAAATGAAAATTCCATTCGTATGCAAATTTTTGTACCGATAATTGTTAAAAACCTTGTACCCAAACCTAATCAGGTTTTGCAATTGCTCAGTTTCATCTGATCACTGATTCTTGAGATAGCATTCACGCATTTGCTGCACAGACAAACATACAGACATCACCACAACATTTGTTCATATTGACTGTCAACAGGAACTAACAAAAAAGCAGCTTATGTCCCTTTAATTTAAGAGAGTGAATTGACAATGATTAAATTACAAATGAATTATCACATGATTTTAGTTCACTTTCCCTTACCTTCCTTCAATTGACTGTAAATATTCATTAAAATTGGCCTCATACTCTTGCTCCATCTTCAGTTCTTCTTCTCGCTTCCTCTTACCTCGAATAAACCTCCAGTGTTTCTTTTTAAATCTCTCTGGTTTTGGTGCTGGACGGTATCTACAAAACACAAATGATAAGATCAAGATGAATACAAATGCAAGCATGCAACATTGAAACATGATTTGCATTGTGGGAAAGATAGACATATTACATTTTCGTCAAACAAAAATGGCAAATTTTGACTGAGAAAAATATTGGACTTTCTGTTATCGGCAATCGTAAGAGTTCAGGGCTGCTCCCCTATTTTATTTATTTATGCCCCTCTTCAGGATATGTATAGTTATTTGGAGGAGCATATTGAATTACATTAGAGGGCTGAAGGGTTAGGGTTAGGGTTAGGGTTAGGGTTAGGGTTCGGGTTCGGGTTCGGGTTCGGGTTAGGGTTAGGGTTAGGGTTCAGGTTAGGGTTAGGGTTAGGGTTAAGGTTAGGGTTCAGGTTAGGGTTAGGGTTAGGAGTTGGAGGGAGATTTAAGGAACTATTTCCTAGGCAACAAAGCCACCAAATAGTACTTTCAAGGTTATATTATCTATATTACTTTGTGAATTCCAGTACATCTTCCACCCAGTATTCAGTTACTGGGAATGTGAATCCTGGAATGGTTTCCATAGGACAATTGCCATAATAACTAGAAAACTGTTCAGCATTCACGGTTGCACTCATAAGAATCAACTTCATGTCAGGCCTGGAAATAATAAAGAAACAAAACATACAGTATTGTATTAGAAGAAATGCATGTGAGCCTCAAAACGTTTGTTTTTATTTTCAAATAATATTTTGCTCCAGGTAACAGTTTCTAACGTTGATTGCCACTTGGTTGTCTCTTCTGATTATTTTTTTTTTCACATGCAAATGGCAACTGCTTATAGCCATTAGCATATTTTGCCACAGAATGAAAATATTCCATGTTTACGACTACACGAATGTGTTGCCAATCATATCGGTAATACCAATTTAATGAACTATCTCAGCAAAGTCAAACAGTCACATAGAGATATTCGCTGACGCTCATATCCATTAGTGAATGAATCTTAGCCAATGGCTTTGGCCTTGTCAATCAGTCTGTGGCACAGACACACAGTACAAGAACCACAAGGCTAACAGTAACATTCTTACAGTTTTAGTAATACAAGCAGCCTATCGGCTGAGATAGCTCCGCTGTTAGCAATGCACATTTCAATTAAAGAACTGAAGACATCATTAGAAAATGAACAATATGTATAGTATCAAAGCAATCGGACTTACAGTTTTTAACAAGAAGTCGAAAATATCACTTTCTACCAAAAATGACAAAAATATTCACCGAAATTAGAGAATTGAAGATATTATCACAAAATGAACAAATCTGAGAGAGGTCCACATGTAGTACCTATATATGTATTATCAAAGCATTTGCACTTGCGGTTTTTAACAAGAAGTCGAAAATATCACTTTTTACCAAAAATGACAAAAATATTCACCAAAATTAGAGAATTGAAGATATCAACATGAAATGAACAAACCTAAGAGAGGTCTACCCAAGGTACATATACACCAAGTATCAAAGCATTCAGGATTGTAGTTTTCAAGAAGAAGTCGAAAAAGTAAAACATTGACATGGACGACAGACAATCACTCATATGATAAGCTCCGCTCGACAAAGTCGACAGCGGAGCTAAAAAAAATACACCAACCTGAGTGGTAACAGATCCCGTAAGATAATTATCAGAAAGTCACAAATAATATTTTGCTCATGAACTTCATCTAAGATTACATGACTCAGACCATTCAATAACCTGTCAAAAAAGATAATCACAATCTTTCCATGTTAGTTTGAAATATTATATACTGTCAAGTAGGGTACATACATTAAAAGGGTTTGATTTATTTATTATTTTTTAATTTTCTCGCTCACATTTTTACTTATTTTGACTTATTGGCATTTTTGATCAACATTTTAATGAAATATGGAAAAAAGCAATTACCCATGGAAAGCCTAAGTCAACTTCTGCACCATTCACTAATGAAAAGTACATCATTTTTTCCAGATTATTTTCTAGAAATGTTGTTGAATTATGAAAGACACAAAAAAAATGTGTAAAATTCGACCACTAAGCTTTGGCAGTGCTGCTAATGTTCTAAGACATTACAAGCATAAGTAAAGTGTTATCCAGCTTTAAATTATGTTATTTTTGGCTTCAACATTTTATATTTTCTGACTTCATCAATCAGGTAATGGTGAGCAGTAATTAAAGTTTGCATGCTGAGTAAACTATAAACTGAATTGTGAAATTTTTTGTTTTTGCCTTATTTTAATATAAAATTAATCATATTACGTAATGCTAGTTGATATCGTTTGAGGCAAATGCTGTACAAAATGTCAAATAAATGTGAAAGAGATCAGTTTGACAATGGAATAATTACTAACACACTTACGGATCACCTTGAAGCCATTTTAACAATATTCCTGTTGTACAGTAGAGTATGGATGCCTGATTTCGTGGCAGTTTACAATCTAATCTGATCTGGTATCCAACACTCATACCACTACCAACTGTTTCCCCTCTCTCTTCAGCAACTCTCTCAGCTACCTAACAGACATTAAACAAAACAGCATGGCATCAGCTTCAGATCCATGATTTAAGACTCGCCTGGGCGGATGACAGCTTGCAGATGTATTATCCAAATATTATGGTTGCATGGATTTCTTACTTTTATGAATTATATGTATTAGTATAAAAGTACTATAATTGAACTCCACATAAACAACAATGTAACTTGAAACGCAGAACTTTTTTACACATACAAGCAATGATTTAAGTATCAAACATTTTGAAAAATTAAAAAGCAGCCATGTATGCACCAAGTATCAAAACAACAAGGCAGGTAGTTTACAAGAAGAAGTTGAAAAAGTAAAAAGTTGACATGGACAACGACCACGTACGATGACGGACAATCGCTCGTATGATAAGCTCACTTGACAAAGTCAACAGTGGAGCAAAAAACCATATAGTGATTTGTACATTTTTTAACATCCAATAGTAAATAGCATCTACATAAATGAATTGGTATTCAGAATACAAGACAAATCTATCAATCTGCAATTTCAAAACTAAAAGCTAAATGGCTTTCACATTCTGGTATTCTTTTCAAAATAAAGAGAATTACATTGATGGGTACAAATTCTATGGTATGGTATAAAACTAAATAATAACATTTTATAGCACTGATCATCTCACTATTTTTTAGACCAGAACTCGCAGTTGACATTTATCAAAATTAGAGTCCCCATCAATGATACTCTAAATACTAACTTTGAAGCTAAAACTGTTTAGACATTGTTATTTGTTGTTGTTTGCACTTACAGATACAGCACTAATTCTCCTAGGCTGCGTACACACTACACGACACATAGAACCTTTTCCTTTTTCAATATAATCATCTAGTATAAACTGAGCCACCTGACAATAATAAGATGAAAGAATAAAATTATATTCACAATGAATTAAAGTACTGGTTGATGCCAAATGCTCAACTTAATTTGTGTAAGGTTGTTTTACATAATAAATATGGATGAAAATTGAATCACATTTTTTGGTTTTAACATTGTTGCATAATTCTTGATTGGAACATGTGTCATCAACATTCAGATATTTACCAAGTCTGATACAAACCTTTATGCAACAATTTCTATACAAATCGATGTTAAATATTATTTTATAAAAAAAAATAATATTTCCTAATAATTCCTGACAACCAATAGTATTCATCATGTACATGTTTTTTTTTACATTACAAAACTGGATGAAATTCTGAGAGTCAATGATAAATATGATATTATATGATATGATATTATTATACATCTGTCATGGTAACGCCATAAGTTACAGCGTGCCGTAATTTTCGGGTATTTTTTGGGGGTATTTTCATCCTACCATATTAGGAAATGCGAATTCCAAATATGGAATGATTACGTGCGTAAGCGTCGTCTAATAATAAAAACAAACATGGCTGCCACCAGGGTTTGACCGGACTCCGTACAAAGAAGTTCGCTGATTCTGTTCTAAACTTTTTAGATTTCGGCATTCCCATGATGTATCCTTGGTAGGAAAAGACGTATAATAATGTTATTACGAAG